AATGAAAAGCAGAACCCATTTGATTAAAATCAAATCATTCTAAAAGGTAATACAGGTAACCCCCGTATAACATGGCACTTCTATAGCACGGATTCACTCTAACACAGTTCGAGAATTGAGAACATCCCCCGTATAACAAGGTGCTTTTATAGCACAGGTTCACTCTAACATGGTTTGGGAATTGGGTAAAACCCTTGTACAACATAAAATGTAATAAAGGATGCGTTCTTTTATACCTCCGCATAACTCTGCACGAGCATTCTAATTGTTTTCGTGGCTACTTTGACTGCTCTTTCAACAAATAATCCATTTAATGGTTAAATTATACAATTGGGATCCTTCTTTTGCCTCTAAAAGCTCATTTTGGAATTATAGATTCCTCCATCATGATACTATCGATAGTGCGTGTGTCGCCATCTTTCTTTTGCCATCATTCATAAATGCCTACAAACAGCAGCTCGCTCCCATTGCAGAGCGACCGCTATTAACGAAACACCCACAAACTGTTACTAGTTGATGATGCTCATGCTGAGATCATGGTATAAAATGAATAATCCTCTGGTAAAATATTTACTTAAATAATAAATAAGTATTTTACCTATGAAAAAAATGAATAATAAATTTGATTTAAATAAGGATTTAACAACATGTTTTTTAATTTTTGGAACCTAACTCCCTTTTCACACTAGTTCTTTGTTTCATATAACACGGATTCGCATAACACAGCAATTTTTTGGAACGTAACTCCCGTGTTATACAGGGGTTACCTGTACATTATCTCTAATATTTTCTATTTTCTCAAATTATTTAATATCTGTTAAAGAAATTGTTCATCATTTAATAAGTACTTTCATTTTGCAATTAGTTGCTGTTTGCTTCCACAGCATTTGCAAGAATCTTGGTCATTGTCATGAATGCATGTGAAATCTAGTATGTAATATAGGGTTGACAACTAAGTGATTGCGGATTTTGTCAATAGGTGGTCTTAGCACATTTTTTTGCTTTGTCATTGTGTTCAAAGCATTTAACCTATATTGTTTTCTTGTTGTTTGGACTTCCACCTTTAATTTAGTAAAAAAATTGTATCGATTAGTTATTTAGTTTTGTTTTTATCCCAATTTAAAAATGGAAGAACAAGACGTGCATTTCAGACATATTTTATTGTATTATTTCCGAAAGGCAAGAACACATCACAAGCACACAAGAAGTTATGTGCCGTATATGGGAATGAAGCCTTGAAAGAAAGGAAGTGTCAAAATTGGTTTGCCAAATTTCGTTCTGGTGATTTTTCACTGAAAAATGCTCAGCGATCTGGCCGTCCAGTTGAAGTTGATGAGACCCATATCAAGGCCATTATCGATTCAGATCGTCATAGCACAACACGTGAGATTGCACAGAAGCTCAATGTATCGCATACATGCATTAAAAAAAAATTTAAAACAGCTTGGCTATGTCAAGAAACGGGATTTATGGGTCCCTCATCAGCTTAAAGAAATTCATTTGATGCAACACATTAGCATCTGTGATTCACTTCTGAAACACAACGAGATTGATCCATTTCTGAAACGACTGATTACTGGCGACGAAAAGTGGCTAGTTTATAGCAACGTTAATCGGAAAAGATTGTGGGTGATGCAAGATGAACCAGCCCAGATGACACCAAAAGCTGAGATTCACCAAAAAAAGATTATGCTGTCAGTTTGGTGGGATTATAAAGGAATTCTATACTTTGAACTTTTACCAAGAAACCAAACGATTAATTCAAATGTGTATGTTCAACAACTCGCCAAACTAAGCGATGCAGTTCAAGAAAAGCGGCCAAAATTGGCAAATCGTAAGGGTGTTGTTTTCCAGCATGATAATGCAAAGTCCCACACATCTTTGTCACTCGCCAAAAATTATTGGAGCTAGGTTGGATGTGTTGTCACATCCACCATATAGCCATGACCTTGCGCCTTCAGATTACCATTTATTTTGTTTCATGCAGAACTCCTTAAATGGCAAAATTTTTATTGACGCTGATGATGTAAAAATACATTTAATTCAGTTTTTGCTGGCAAAAATTGGAAGTTTTATGAACATGGAATTATGACATTGCCTGAAAGATGGCAAGAGGTCATTGACAAAAATGGACAATACCTAATTGAATAAAGTTATATTTTTAAGCAAAAATTTTGAATTTTCCTTCTTATTTAAAATCCACAATCACTTAGTTGCCAACCCTATATATTGCATGCATAGATACTGTCATTAGCATGTTAGGCTAATGATACAATAAATTAGAGATTAGTGATAAAATAAATATGCTAATGTGCAAAATGAGTTTCCAAGCACATACTCCTAACATGCACAATATCTGTTATATTTTTTTGTGTTAATCTTGCAATTTTCTATATATACTACATATGAAAGTGATATTTAAAAAATAAATTAGGATTATATACAATAATATCTGATATAGATTACTATGCAACATGTAAAATGCTACATGTAATTATATTTATTTGTAACACTTGTATGCTTAATCAAGAAAATGTTGAATATGTTTTTTGCAATAAATTTCTCTCAGTAATATTATTTTATAATTATATAAACTGTTATTTAATGTAAAATTTATTTAATTGAAAAAAAATTAAATTAAACACAGTATTATAATTTCCATTATTAAAAAGTTATAAGCCATTTAAGTATGTTTCTAATACTGTATGTGCAAATACATATCAAATAACAAAATTTTTGTACTGTCATCAGTTCTATATTGAATGTAATGTAGATATAACTTTTTTTTTTAACTTTCAAGTTAAACTATTGAAATTTGTGTTGTCTATTCTTTTCATCATGAAAACATATTTGATAATGAAGAAAGATTCCACTTTTGCAAACATAAATTTAATATATAAGTTTAATTTTTTATCATTTCAAATTTAAAATATAATGAAAATTTTATTTTAAATATGTAATTTTATAGTTATTTGTCGGGGAGGGGTGAAGTTACAAATTACAAGGCATGCAGGGGAGGCCGTCAAGTCGGGAGAAGATGGGAGGGGAAGGGAGCGGGAAGTACGGAAAGTACGGAAAGTGCCAGACTGATACCGTATACTATCGATGTAACAGACTGAAGAGGGGTGAAAGCCCGAAACGCGTTTCTGTATGAATTAAAAGAAGTGATGGAATTATTTGCCAAGTGTCGATAAATGCACCAAGTCGTGACATAGAATTAGAAGAAACAAGTAATTTTATATTTTAAAATAAATTAGTTTATGAGTTAAAAAATTTAAATGCCATCAGCCAAGTTTTAAATTTTTACAAATATGAAATATCACAAATGTACAAAGAAAAATTTCCTGCTTTGCTTTCCTTTCCATCGTTTACACCAGTAACAGTCCAAAATATGAATTCTCACACACAGAGACAAGCTCTGTGTCTGAGAATTTATATTTTGGACTGTCACTGTTTGGTTAATTTTCACAATGAATTTTTAATTGGAAAAGTTGCTAATGTTTAAAATAGTAAATTCTTATTTGAACTGTTAAGTAATTGAAATCTTAGTTTGCTTGAAATAATATTTTAGACTATTTTAATTGTTGCACTAAGTTAAAATATAGATATATTTAAATACATGGAAACAAAAAAGAAAAATGAATAATTTTTATTGATTTTTTAACCAAAGAACACTATCAGCATTGAAGAAAATCAATTTTTGCTGACATGTTTAATAACTGTTTGATATTCAAAGAAATTAACTCTTTAATACTTAAAAATTCTTGGAGTATCTGCATTTGTTCAAGTTTATCATTATCACATTCAAAAGAAATATTTTATTTCATTATATAAAGTATTTTTGATTTATTCTGAGCAGAGTATTCTTTTGTTTGACAGTTAAGAGTTTTTTTTCATCTTAAATTATGTGATAAGATTGAGTACAACTTGCAGACACACAAAAAGTATAACAGATATTAAAAAATAACTTTTTCTTAAACAGCAAGAGATATTTGTTGCTAACATTAGATAGATCCATTAGGAATTAAAATAAATTAAATGCATTTAAGAATAATTGTTGTTTTTTTAAATTAGAGATAACATTAAATGGTTGTTTTTCTTTATTTTGTGTCAGTATTATGTTATAATGCTTTTAACATTCATGACTATTATGACTGATAATCAATGTTATTTAAAATCTAGGTATATTTTATTGAAATTCCTGATAAAATCAATAAAATATTTTATTGATTTTATTTCTGAGATGGGAAATGAAACTTATGCATTTACATTTGATACATAACTGAAAAATGAGAATAATGAAACAAATTAATGTGACAAAGCAGGTTATGAAAACTAAGTACTGAACTAATAGTATCATGTAACACCTGATGATGATATGATTGTCTATTTTTAATGTATTAATTATTTATATAAAAGATAATTCTGAAATTTTATATTGAAATAAAAATACATTTATGGAATTTTTTTATTTAATTAATCCTAAAGTAGTTGCGATCTCTTTAAATAAATTTAAAAAATGTGTGTGTGTACTGTACATGACAATAATAATGTTAAGATGATAATTATGTATTAAGTTATGTAAGAAAAAATTTCATGGATTATAGGAAAATATTTGCTACTATTTTTTATATTCTTTAGACTTGTTACAAACTCTGTTCTTCATATTTGTTAAATCTGTGCTCTTATAATGTTCTTTAAGTTCTACAGTGATATAAGTGTCTTATAGTGAGACTTGGATTATATTATTAAAAGTTGCATTAAACAGCAAAACATTCATGTAACTTGAAAGCTGGATTTTCATTATCATAAAGAAAATGAAAGTTTATAAAAGATACTTTTATTTATATCAATTAAGATTTATCTACAGGCAAAAATATTCTCAATATCATAATTTTTACTGCAATGGATATTTGTAGCATAAAAGTAATTTGAATTTATTTCAGTTATTTTTCTGTTTAAAAATATCTGATTAATTTACTATCTGTTTTTATTTTTAGACGGATCAACAATTAGACTGTGCTCTTGATTTAATGAGAAGATTGCCACCTCAGCAAATAGAAAAAAATCTTAGTGACTTGATTGATTTGGTAAAATAGAAATATTAATGAATTCTCAATAAAAATATTTAAAAATTAGTTTTACAGTATTATTAATTAATTGATTAATTATTATTTGACTCTATAATAAAAAAAATTATCAGTTGAGTTGTTATAATTCTTTAATTTGCTCCTTAATTCTGATCTTATAACTATCATTATCATATAATAATAACTTCATTATCTGAAGTTATTAGTTTCAGATTATTAGAAAATAACATAATTAATTGACTTCAGTATAAGTCTGTTTTTTTTTTTNATATATTTTTAGTAAGTTCTCGAAGGAATCTTGTCTTCTTGACAAATTATTTATTTTCTGCCTGTTGTTCTTACTTATTCTCAAAGTATCGTTTAGAAAAGTCGCTTGTGACTGTACTAAATGAATTATACCTTTATTAATACGTTTTATATTTGTGATTTCTCCATTTAAAACTTCGATATCTTCGGATGTAGCTGTTCCGAATAAAAACTTCAATTCTTTTCCTCCTATGTCGATTAAACCTCTTCTCTTTCTACTTTCTTTATCAAGGGTAACTAATCCCTTTAAATTATAATAGCCTCTTTTGTATTCCGAGAAAGATGATATAAGTATTTCGTATCCATTTGTAGGTAAGATCCATCTTGCTTGATCCTTTCTTTTCTCAGTTGATGCTCGCTCTCTGTTTACGATCATGGTTCTTAAAGATTCAAGAGATTGTGTTAAAAAACTCTACTTGTTGATCAAAATGATCGAAATCGAAGTCATGGATCAAGGTCCAATGACTAGATATCATCAAAAAGTTCTCTTTGTGAATGAAAATGACACCTTCCTCGAATTCGATTACCTCTTGAGCTCTATAACTCCATTTTACGTCTATCAGGATGCAAATTTGGAAGACGAATGTAATCGAGGACCTCATCTTCGTGTCTAATCTCATTATTGAAGAGTGTGAGTAAATGGGGAATGAGCTTCGTCTTGTCTTTATAATTTCAGGAGAGCGTTCTCCACCTGTAGAAAATATTTTAATTGTTATAAGGGGCCACTCCCTTATCTTCAGAATGTATATTATTCTCTTTTCTTGGATTTCGCTCACTAAATATGTATATACAAACTCTATCATTGATTCATTAATTCCTTCACTTAGTACTATTTAACATTATTTCTAAATCAACTTCATAAGTCACCAACACTTTCGATATTTCTTTGGGAAGAACTTGATCTACTAATGTGGAAAGTGATAATTCTCTAATTCTTTAGGGATTGCAACTTCTATTTATATATTTCCTATATTTTATTATCACCTTACGGATTTTTACTTCCTTTGAACATTTGCACCCTTATTTGGAGTTCTAATTTTATTAGGTTGCATTATAGGGTAATCCTTGTGCCTCTCAAAGACGGCCACTGGCACTTTACTCTTAAAGGTTTCTACTTTCGGTTCACTTTCTTCAATCTCCTGAGTTTCTCTCGTTGTATCATCGGCCTTTTTAACTTGTCCCAACAATAGGGTTATTAAATATATCAATAGGCTTATTAATTTATAAAGTTCAGGGATGGTGGAGCCTTTAAAACGACTTGACTCGATTTTCTTCTCGTCTTTTTCCACCACATTATGTGTAAGATCGACTTTTTCGATCGTCTTATTATCCCGCATTTCTTGTATCTTTTGCATAGACTTATCGAAGGACTTCTCTTTGTTTAATTTTAACTTTGTTTCTTCTCTGTTATTAAATATATCAATAGGCTTATTAATTTATAAAGTTCAGGGATGGTGGAGCCTTTAAAACGACTTGACTCGATTTTCTTCTCGTCTTTTTCCACCACATTATGTGTAAGATCGACTTTTTCGATCGTCTTATTATCCCACATTTCTTGTATCTTTTGCATAGACTTATCGAAGGACTTCTCTTTGTTTAATTTTAACTTTGTTTCTTCTCTCCTTTTTTGTTTAATCTCCTGGATAATTTCCTTATTGTTTATTTTATTCTTCTTAATTTGTTTCTGACGACCTAACTTTATATCCTTAGCCCTATTGTTTATTTCATCTTTAGTGGCCTTGCACTTAGCTTCCGTTTTTCTGATGGTCCCTAAATGCTTGTTCTTTCTTGAATGGAGTTTGCGGGGAGACACTCGAACAATGCGTAATACACTAGCTTCTGAATACTTCAAATCGACTTCCTTACGATTTCTATTCATTTGATTTTGTCTGAATTTCCGCGTTTTACCTCGGTAACTACTTCCGTTTGGAGGTCTTGAGGAGCAATAATGTACCTCCTTGCCGTTTTCTAAAATTATCCTTTTATTTTCTCGATCTATCGTGATATTCCCTTCTATAAGGAAATCCTTTCCTAATATTCCCTCACAGGGTAGGGTTATTTCTGGATCGACTATTCTCACTATTCTTTTAAATTTTAATCCCCTAAATTTAAATGTCGGCAGTGCTGTGCCTCTTAAGAGAACAGTTTTTCCCGGACTATTTTCCACCTCCATAGGCATCGTGAAATGCACAGGGGCTTTATTTTCTAGGTTTCTAGCGATTCGTGATGATAAGAGCGTNTTTTTATTATGTAATTATTTCAGTGTAAATAATTATATGTAATATATTAAGAGAGCATTATAGCATTATTTAATTTCTGCAATATTTGATTGTTGTATATGAGAGACATTATACCTTCATCCAAGGACAATTGGGTTTTGAATGATTTTAACATAACACCTTCATCCACTCATATTCAGTTGTGAATTTTATTGATTTGACTTTATTTTAAATTATGTCATACTTTTATTTATTTATTTAGAAAGTTATTTAATTATTTGAATTGCTTTAAACTGATAAATTGTCTTCTAAAACATATTTATTTATTAACTTATTTTCATATCATTATTTTTAATAGTACTTTCACCCTCCAACTGGACTTAATATATAACAATAATGCACTAAAACAAACAAAGATATGACACAGTTTCAAAACATGGAATAATGCACTTCTCAAGGCCACAATAGAATTCACTGACATGTCACTGGACTCTAGTTGAGGTTTTTGAGAGGTGTATTATACATTATTTTTAATTTAAAATATAACATAATATAACTTTGTATCAAAGTTACACCAACTTAACTTAAATTTAAATCTTAGAAACACACCTTGTGTTAGTGAATCAGACCAACTTAAATATATAATTTTCAAATGATATAGTTAGACTAAGAAAGAAATAATTTTGTTAGATGTTAGATTAAATATTACATTCTATTGTTTTAATTTTTTGTTTAACTTTTTGAAAGCAAGCATGAGCTGTATTTATAAACTTAAAGTTGAACAGAAATTACTGAAATTGATAATGTTAAATTTTAACTAGAAATTACTAAAAACAATCAAATGAAAAATTTGCTTGTGAGGAATAGACTTAAAGTCCTGTCTAAGCCCAACATGGCAATCCTGCTGTTACAAAGATATGGCTCCTGAAAGGAGAAAAACATCAATTTCATGTTTCTTCACCATCTGCAGGGCTTCAGAAGAAGCTGCTTTCGATCTCTGTAAGTTGATTTGTATATCATGATCTTATCCTTCATATGGTTGCCCTGATTTCCAGGGTTAATGTGCGTAGAGTTGCAAGTATCCATAGCAGGGACAAAACAGATACCTGAAGGATCCTAATGGTATTTAGTGTTAGCAATGATTTGTGCCTTGTACCACTTCATACATGGGCAGTTGGCCGCAAACGAGTTGTGGTTCGTATCCACTCTACGGCTCTCTGGAACTACCTTATTATATTTGGTGCAGTTTGAGCACTTTGGTTCTTTGTGTTGATTCTGGCATTCTTTAAACCTGTGTTTTCAATCGCAGTGGCTGCATTTTTGTTTTTCATCACACCTACTAGAAATATGGCTGAAGCCATAGCAATTGTAACAGGGATGTGGTCATTACCTGTATTGAGTTTTAACCAATGGAAACTCTACCAGCCTCTATTAGGCTGAGTCTTACTGCATGATGAACCTCATCCCTATGTCGAGGGGTGATAAAGTGCTGGAAAGAGTTTTCTTTTAAAAATTTTTCCTTAGAGTAAGTGTCGCATATGAGGATGAGTTAATGGAGCAGATACAAGTGCTCCATTAACTCAGCCTCAGTTAAATCTCTTGGGAGATTTAGTAAGATTACACTTGGAGATCTCTTTTTCTTTTCTTTTGTAACAATTCTATTTGCAAGATAGGTATTTTTTGAATGGCTTCCTTTAGGACCTCCATGTCTCTATTAGATTTCACACTTGTAGATATATCTCTGCTGGAAAGTGGTCTAATATTACATTTACATTTAGCCCTAGTTCTTTGGGGGAAATATTGGCTCCTGAAGAATCAACATTAATTCCTCAGCCACTGGCTTTGTCTGGTCCTGCTCAACCACCAGAGAGGTAATCAAACTGTGGTCTCCATCCTGTGCCTCATTTTGACTACCCATTCCATCGAAGTTGGCGTTTATTAGCCTTGTGTCTTTACTTACTTGCCTCAAGTTTTTCTTTACTATATCTGCATAGAGAGGTGAGGGTGGCTATGCTGTTGCATTGACTTGCTTTTGCTGCAATTCTAGAATGATCCCGAAAAGTTGATTAGCTGCAGCGTGCATCCATACTGCTGCATCACAAGCCAGGGCCTCTCATCCATTGCTACATTGCTACTGGAAGGGACACTTGTAAGAATAGTCTCTAAACACAAGTTAATGGTGGATATTAACTTTTCTTTGATGAAGTTCATATTAATTGAGTCCTGTCTGGACTGGTTGGGGCTACATGAGACACACTTGTCCTGGTTGGCTTTCCCATATTACCACAATTCCATATTAATCACAATACAACCACAGTATCCACAGAAATTGAGATGAAACCAGCAGTGGCCAAGTAGAGAAACTAGTGCACTGTCTAGCCAGAGAGGCCAGGTTAGGGTTGGATGGACCACAGAGTGAGAACAATGGCCTTTGTCCCCCAAACACGAGGCTAAAGATTCGGGATGCTATAACTTCTGAG